TCCGTTTTAGCATTTTTTTTTTTTTACATTTAGCTAGTTTAAGAGTATTTTCGTCATTTTTAGTAGTTTGTAAATTACACATTCATTTAATTGACTAATAATATTTCAGTTTTTCCAATTATTTAGTGGATTCCAATAATTTTCACATCCATTCGAGCAAAATTCGAGCAAATACTCGTCCATTTGTTACGAACAAGAACTTATTATTATCACTCATGCTTCTGTCCTACGTCACACCGGCCTCCATTTTATGAGTCTCTGAGAATTCCAGAAAACCAAATAATGGAGCGCTGGAGTTGATGGAGGTGAAGATGGAAAATAATGGGCTGATGAGATTTTCAATTGGCATTGATTCAGAGATGAAATGATTTTCTTCTTGCCAGATTTGGTTGCTTGATATATGGTGCAGCACCTGATGAGGTGTTTTGAGTGTAAAACCTGAGGATTTGGTGGACATGAATGTGGGGATGAGTAATAGGGTTCCTTCTCGGGTGAACCCTTGGCGTAATGTGTTAATTAGTATACCAAAGAGGACTAAATGTTTATGGAGTCTCGAAGTTTCATCTTAAAGAGTCAATCATGTTAAAGAAGAATAGCCTTTCGAATTTAACATTAAGAGATCTCTCAAGAGAGACACAAATATTGTAATCTGACATCTTATTTAGATGGATAAAGAAAACACATTCATTTTATTACGAAGCACGAAGCAATACAAAAGTTGAAGCAGCAACAAACACAAACAACATTGGTACAAGTTATTTGAATACATATATGGTTGTGAACCTAATAGCAACCTTTTATTCATGGTATTATCAAGCACTCAAGTTGACGTTATTTAGCTATAATCTCAGCATTTACGGTAGCAAAAGCAAGCGAATCCCCAGCCCCTTCTGTGGCAAGCTCCATGCAGAGCCCCCTCCCAGTTCCTGCACTGCCGGTTGCTGTTGCCGGAGTTCAAGCATACCCCTGACCATGTTTTGCTCAGCCTCGAACAAACTTTAGCTTCCGCCATCTGCACCTCTGCATAAGCATACATATAAAGAGAGAGTGAGAGAGAAGTTGTATTAGCTAAAGTGAAGTTGTATTAGCTAACTTTACCAACATTTGCATGCATGCTTAAATTATGTCATCAACTTTTATAAAATATGTGGTACAGGATAAGACTGCACAGTATGATTTCTTTACTTCATCCTCCTCTCTTGCTTGTAAGTTTTCTTTTGTTATCAATAAAATTAAAGTATTTGAATAAAAGAATCCTTACTACCAAACAAACTTACAGCATGTTTAGTGTGTTGGAACGCTATGTTGTTCACGTACTGCATGTTAATGCCGCATTTGACATGACTTTTGAAAAGTCGAAAGGAGATTTTGAGATCAAAAGCAAATTTTGGATATGTTTTTAGAGAAAGTTGAATTAATGTAGCTTCCTCTAAAAGTTTTATTCCCGGAAGAGAAAACTATTTTAGAAATTAGTTTCATCATGAAATTTTTCTACAAGACCCTAAAAATATCTCTTGAACTAAAATTGAAAAAGACATTTATTTTGAAAAAATAAAATGAATTAAAGACTTCTTACCATTGGATGCTATAAGAAGGAAGCAGATGAGAGGCAAAGAAAATGGCGTTGGAAATTTGAGATTTTGCCGTTGGCTACAATGTGTATGTTGTGAGGTTTTTAGTGCTTGTGAGGAATAGAGCGAGTGATAACAGAGATATATATAGTAGTCTTGGGGTAATTAGGTCATTTTAGTAATTGTTGAAGGTTGAAGCCTCACTAAAGAAATATGGATTACATAACCAATTATACTAGGTAACATAAGGATGATTTGATAGTGAAACTTCCTACTCCAAAGATAATGTAAAAAATATATAGATATATAATTTATTTGATTAAATAGATTGTTTGACTTAATCAAACCATACTTGTTCACATTACTGCATGAAACCATAACTTACAAGAAATTGAGCACTGCTATAAACTGTTTACTTATTTTTGTAACTCAAAATTATCAAGAATCTCAGAGTCTACCATAACCATACAAGTCGCTAATAATTTCGATAAGAGATCATTATTTACTAATCTACTTAAAGACAATGTCATTTGTACACTTTTTGTTACATTATTGTTGACACTACAAGTGCTGTCAACAATTTATTAGATTAAAAAACTGCCAAATTTGAAACTGTCTAATGGTAAATTGTCACGTGGCAAAATGTAAAAGATGATGTAAAGCAAGATGTACATATAGCATGATTACTTACTTAAATTAAAGGTTTGACTTAAAGGTAGATAGTCATTTACATCTTAAGTCCAAGTCAATTTCCATTAAACGACTCAGATTACCCCTGTAACAAGTTTTAAACCAGTTAACCCAAGTCAGTTGACCATAAGCACTAGGTTATGAGAAACCCCTCAAGTTTAATTCTTCGAGTCAAATAGTCTTCAAAAAAATATATAAGATATTGAGCTTTAATTACAGGGACAAACTTAAGCTTATGTCTAATAAATATGGTCAATTCATGTTCAAAGTCACCTTACTAACATGTGACTGCCATCTCAAATCTCAAACATACGGTAGAGTCTCACTAACAATATTATAGTGTGTGAAGTGCAGATGGTACATGAAGACACATATACTAAGTACCCCATAATAATATAAGCCAGCAATGGAAACTATGTTACAGCTCATCGATAAAATGCATGCTTGACCACAACAAACAAATTCAAGTATATTACATATTATGCAGTAAAAATAATTTCCTGTTTTTTTATTCTTCAATTTTTTGTTTTTATTTTAAAACATAAATGCATCATGCACAAAAAAATGTCAAACACAAAAATAAAAATAAAAAAATGCATGAATTTTCTACCTAAAAAACAAATAAACAAATATGATGTATGCATAAATCAATGTCATACAATGATAAAGCACGAGCATGCACCAAAATATCTAATTAGCTAGGTATGCAAATGCTCTTACCTTTAATAGCACCATGATCTATTTCAAAAAAATTCAGATCACTTTTCTTCACCCAAACTTGCCTAGTGATAGGAACATTTTCGGTTATCTGTGTCATTAACTTGGTCGATTTGCTTACTTGATCAGTAACGAAGTCAATCTGACAAACAAAATCCTGATTCTTACTTATATTTAAGCTCCAGTTTCTATTTATATTCTTGAAACGATGACACCTAGGCATTATGTGTCCTAACTCGCAAAAATGAAAACGTATATGGATAAAACTAGGACCAGAGTTATGATCGTTGATATCTATTCCTAGGTTAATGGGTCCTACGCTGTATAGTAGGCCTCTGTCCTATATATCCCTCATTCTTAGGTTTAAGGTTAGACACATGCTTACGCTGGTCAGTACTAGAGACAAATGTGGTCTTGGACGTACTAGCAACATTAGATCATTTTTATTGTATCACATACCTCCCTTATTACTAGCAAGATTGCCCATTCCCAAAATGTTATCTAACTTCTTAGAACCACTAGAAAAAACAAGAAGTTGAGACTTGAAATACTCTAGATCATTTAGAAGATTTTTAATCTGAATTTCTAAGGTTTCCTTTTCAACTGTCAGCTCATTAACTCTCCTAGATATCTTCTCAAGCTCACTAGTGAGATTCTTAATCTGAGTATCTAAAGATTTATTCACGGATTTCAAATTACTCAGGATAGAGGTAGATTCCTGAATGTACGTTACGAGTTTCTCGTTTTCCAACTCAAATTCCGTAACTCTTGTACTTAAGGCTTTATTTTTTGTTATAATCTTAATGCTCTCCTCATAAATTCTATCATAAGTCTCATGAATATCTCCCTCAATATTAGAATTGTCTTCACTATCAAAATCTTCTTCTCAATTCTTACAACTACTTACGTTCTCAGCTTTCTCACTCCCCTTATCAGGTGCATTCCAAATTCTAGCAGTAAAGGCAATATATTTTCCACTTTCCTCACGAGTGGATTTCTCACTCTGATTGTGAGAGATAGACTTGTCATCGGTGAGAATAGCATTCAAAGCCTTATTCAAATTTCTCATACTGCTAGGGTACCCATACCTAACGTGGCCAAAACCTCGACAATTGTGGCATCTAACAAATTTAGAACTCTTTCTAGACTCACTTGGACCACTTTTATGCTTCTTTTGAGATTTTTGTTTATTCCTAAACATTTTTTCGAATTTTTTAAGCAAAGTATGCTAACTCCTCTTTATTAGAAGAATTTGAATCCTAGAACTCTCTATGACTATTTCTCACAGTTTTTAAATCCAATCACTTGCCGTTTGTGGGTTTAGCTAATGTCAGCAAATAAGTTTGGAGAGATCCAACCAACCCTTTAATCTTAATTGAATCTAAATC